GGTGTTTGCCTACTATGCATATGTATGTATATAGCAGTCTTGTATATAAACCACTTTTAAGACAAAGCCTCTGTGTGCTGTGTTTTGCTCCTGGGTTGTCTCACAATAGTAGTCATGCTGTAAACACTCTGACAGAAGCCATGATGATTCTTAGCCACCAGTCTACAAGAGATTATCACAATGGCAGATTATCAAAAAATATGTGATTTTAAATAATGGAACATATCCAAATGCAGTAGAAGTGGAATTTCTTCAGAATGTGATGTATGTGTTTCAGAGCTACCTGCACTAGAATATTTTTTATTTATTTATTTTATTTTATTTATTTGACTTGATTTGTCAATCACTTACAAGATAATAGATATAAGTATAAACATGAGTAAGAATACAGGAAATAGGTACAAAGAAATGGGGACAATAGGACAGGAATGAGAGGCATGATGGTGCACTTATGTATGCCCCTTACAGACCTCTTAGAAATGTGGTGAGGTCAATAGTGGATAGTTTGAGGTTAAAGGAGTGGGGTTTGAGGATGTAATTACAGAGTCAGGTAGTGCATTCCAGGCATTGGCCACTCTGTTGCTGAAGTGTTACTTTCTGCAATCAAGTTTAGAGAGGTTAACATTGAGTTTGTATCTGTTGTGTGCTCTTGTATTGTTGCGGTTGAAGCTGAAGTAGTCATTGACTCGTAGGACATTGTAGCAGATAATTTTGTGTACTACGCTTAGGTCCAACCGTAGGTGGTGTAGTTTAAGATTGTCCAAGCCCAAAATTTTAAGTCTGGTGGTATAGGGTATTCTGTTGCAAGCAGAGGAATGTAATACTCTTCTCGTGAAATACTTCTGGACTCGCTTAATTGTATTAATGTCTGATATACAGTGCGGATTCCAGTCAGATGAGCTGTAGTTGAGTATTGGTCTGGCAAAGGTTTTGAATGCCCTAGTTAGCAATTCAATATTTCCAGAGGAGAAGGTTTGTAAGATTAGATTTACAACTCTTAATGCCTTTTTGGCAATGCTGTTATAGTGAGCTCTAGTGCTTAGATCATTAGATATGAGTACTCCGAGGTCCTTGACAGAGTGAGGGTCATCAACGAAGTCATATCCGCCTAGCTTATATTTGGTGAACTGATTTTTTTTACCAATGTGTAGGACAGAGTATTTATTGATCGAAATTTGGAGTTGCCAAATGTTTGACCATTCAGACACATAATCAAGGTCATTTTGAAGAACAGTAGCATTGTTGGTGGTGTTGAATAGCTTTACATCATCCGCGAAGACGACACGGTTGCTAATAAGGTGATCGCAAAGGTCATTTATATAGAGTATAAAGAGTGTGGGTCCTAAAATGCTGCCTTGGGGGACACCACTGTTGACTGGATCAGGGTTTGATATAGTGCTCCCTATTTTTACTATTTGTTGCCTGTTTGACAGGAATGCAGTAATCCACTTATGAAGGGATCCGGAAATACCATAAGAGTTTAGTTTTAACAGTAGTTTGTCATGTACCACTGAATCAAAGGCTTTGCAGAAGTCTATGTAAATTGTGTCTATTGCTTTACCCTGGTCGAGTAGAGAAGTCCATATGTTTTTGCAGTGTAGGAGTTGAAGATTGCAGGACAATTTTTTCCTGAAACCAAATTGTGTTTTGGAGAGTAAGTTGTTTGACTCTAAGTGGAGGGTGATGAATTGGTCTGTAGTTTTCAACCAGGCTAGGATCACTTTTTTTGAAGATAGGGATGACCGTAACTAAGGACCATAGGTTCGGTAAGGAGCTGGTTTTGAATGATATATCATATACTGTATAATGATTAGGGGTTCTGCTATGTCAGAGGAGAGCTTTTTAAAGAAGTATGCACATAATCCATGGGGGCCAATAAATAGGGATGGTTTTAGGTTTCGTAGTGCTTTTCTACATTATCTTCTGTAAAGTCCATCATTGCAGTTAGTTGTGGTACGACTATATATGACTTCTAGATGCTGGAATTACCAATAAATGGTCATTGCTCTTTGGAGAAGCTACTTTCCTATATATAATCCAAAATGTTATTCTCTGAAGAAATAAAAATGTAATTAACTCCAATTAAAGGAGATTGAGAAAATTAAAGCATAATTCATTACAGTAAATATTTCAAGAGGAATTAGGGTGGAAGATGGGATCAATGTTTTGCTTTTCAGTACAAATACAATATTATACTTATAAGGGATATTATTAATTAAGATTAGGAGTGAAAGAACTAAACATTTCATTTACCCTGTGGGATTGCCTTCCATAGTTTCTACCTGTCCAAGTTGATCAAACAGATATTCATGCTGTAGAGCCAAAAAAATTTGTCAGCAAAAAAATGTAGGAACTTCCCCCAACTCCCAGGCCCCAGACCAGAAGTGGTATTCAGCAGGTTCTGACCAGTTCTGGAGAACCGGTATCGGAAATTTTTAGTAGTTTGGACAACGGGCAAATACAACTCTGACTGGAGATTTTACAGTATCCTTCCCTTGCCACGGCCACCAAGCCACGCCCACAGAACCGGTAGTAAAAAAAATTGAATCCCACCACTGCCCCAGCCCACTACCAGGCCATGGGCTATTTGGATGGATGGCCAGAGCATGTGCATGCGCACACAGCACAACTTCTGCAGGAAGCAGGATGGTGGGCACTTGTGCCCATGCATGCAGACCTATTGTCATGCTCCCATCAGAGTCTGAATCCGAGGAGGAAGACGAACAGCTGACAGGGAGCTGGGGAGTGGCTCCACTGGCTATGGAGGAAACTGGGGAAGGGAAAAGTCAGGCTGGGCAGAGCAGGGAAGTGTTAGAACAAGGGAGTGTGGATTCAGAGGAAGACCCAGGCCCACCCCTTTTCATCCTAGGGCACGCAGGAAAGAACGGAGAAGAGAGCAATGTGGGTTGCTTGGCTTACAAGGCTTATGAGGAAGGAAAACACCTTGATTCTCTTTACAAGGCACACCTGGGGATGAAGTTTAAAGGAGAGGCAGTTGGGATGGACGGTTGTCAGGAACAAACATTGAATTTATCTTGTGTTGGCTGCGGTTATCTGCATTCCTGGCATCCTCCCAACTGGTTTGATTTACTGCCATGTTACTTCACTTCTGGAACTCCTTATTTTGCCCTGCTGGATTAATTACCTTATCTTGCCTAGATTGGATTTATAGTTTAAAGTTTTCTGTTGACAACATTTTGGACTTGAATATCTGCAGCCAAAGGCTGTTGCAGGTTCCTTGGAGAGTTTTTCTTCAGATTAGAAGGTAACCAGGACATTGGGGGCAAAGTTGGAGCTAATAAAGGGACTCCTACTTATTATCTGTCTGTGTTGCCTTTGTGCCACACCCCAGGTCATCACACGCAAGGGCTGCATACATGTGCACCAGTCCACCACATTTGTGAACCAAATCCCCGCTCCCCCCAACTGGGTTGCCAAGGCGCAAAGTCTGAGGACTGTTGGACTAGAAGATGAGCTTTTTCTGCAATAGCCCCTACTCTATTGAATGTCTTCCCTTTGGAGATTACAATTGCCCCAACTCTGTTAGCCTTCCATAAAGCTTTAAAGACCTGGCAATATCCTCCCATGCCTGGGGTGTTATATGCACCAAGGCCCCTGCCTCCCAGCTATATTGTCAACAAGCCAGATATCTTGCTTTTGCATGTACTTCAAATTAGATGTTTTAATGTAGTTTATTGTTTTAATGGTTTTTACTGTTTTTATTATTTTAAAAGGTTTAAGATTTTAGTTGCAATGTATGTTTTTGAACTGTGAGCTGCCGAGAGGCATTGAGTGAGCTGGGTAGCTATAGAAATCAAGTAAATAAATTTTAATTAGAATCAATCCCAGTTTAACAAAAATATGGGAACTGTTCTGCCTCCTTCAAACCTGAAAAAGACATATTTTAAAAATATGTTACTTATACATATGCCATCCCTTTAACATCACTTATGGACTTTAGGCATGACCGTCAATGGACAGCTTATTGGAGATAAAAAGAGCATCAACAATGTAAGATCACAGAATACATATTTTGGAAAACTTGGGATTGTAACTATGAATTGGAATGTAAGGCTTGAAATAACAACTCAAAATATCATCCATCAAAATGGTGTAAAAAGGAGAGTATTCAGTTGGCTTGATGAAGTTGCCTTACAACAACCTGGGTGAGCTTTTCATACCCCTAATATATAAAAGTGTTATTCTTAAATCAGGGTTGGGTGATTTAAAGCTTTTGTAATTTTGCACATCTCTTGGTCTATTCCAAAAGCCTAAGACAAGGTACCAGATCAGGTTTCTGACAGGTTATCCTTATTTCTTGGCAGAATGAAATGAGAGAAAAAAGAATGTCAGAAAGAATAGCTTTTTCCCACCCACTTTCTCTGCTGTTAAGCTCTTCTTGCTTCAACTCTATTAAGAATGCATTCCCCCAACAGACCAACCCTGAAAGAAGGTGACCTTCACAAGGAAACAAGTTTGCCCAGTCCCAATATAAACAAAGTGGGATAGATTTAAATAAATCCAGCTACAGAGAAAGGCAACACACTATAACTTCCTTTGCAAATATGAGGCTTGGTTGATAAAAATTAATGTTTTTTATAAAGTTTTTAATTTTTTATAAAAATTAACTGCAACCTTCATAAATATGAGTCAGTTGCCAAAGTCTGAATTTTGATCACATGACCATAGGGATTCTGCAACAGTTATGTGTCATAAGTTGCTTTTTCATAACTTCAGTTACTAAATGATTGGTAATCATAATGTAATCAGAGTGATTGTTTCAGGTGAGTGGTTTATTTGCATTGCTCTACTTCAGCCTGCTTCATTGGTGAATGAATGGATAGCTTCACCATTTAATAAGGTTGAGGGCCAGATTTGATAGGCTGTGGTAGAATTTAATGCTAGGCTTCATTTAAACAATAGCTGTGTGCTTACAGATGCCTTCTGCAGAAATGATTCTCCCTTTGCAACCAATTTCCCTAATTTGAATCTCTGCATTATGCAAACTAATAATCATGTTTTCCTGCTTGGTTTCTCTTTTCCCACTTAGTTTGACACTAATAATCAAACGAAAACGGAGCGTAGAGGTTTCAATGGATAATGGAGCAACATTTGTTGTTGTTCTACACCAAGTGTGGAAGAAACATCCATTACACCAAAGTTTCCTGGGATTTTACATGATGGATAGTCACAGATTCTCTGAACAAACCCATGGTTTACTAGGTAACACAAAGATGTTATTCTAAGGATTTTTTTTGTTTTATTTTGTTTTGTTTTTTCCAGTGCTTTTCTTTCATAAGGCATATAGTCTTCCAACATGGCATGAGGTTAAACTCCTGACTGACTTGGCATAAGATTAAACTGGTTTGGCATTGACTTGGCATGAGATTAAAAAGGCAGCAATATTAACGTCCCAAATTAACTGGAAACAGTTTTCTAGGCAATTGGCATAGACAGTTTCAAAGTTAATGTTTTGGTTATCCCAGGTTTACTCCTTTGCTGTACAGAATAGAGATGAAAGATGGAATCACCAATTTATTCCTTCTCTTTTCTGGACCTTGAAAGAAAAAAACCTTGTTGTACGGGGATAATGTAGCAAATTCCTTTGCTTTTCTCCCTGATTAGGTTTCTTCTTTAATATAGATGCAAAGAAACCCAACAACCTATGAAGACCCATCAAGAGCCATTGTACAGGAGCTGTATACAATAGTGGGGAGAACCAGAACCTTAATTTTCGAGAGCCATTTTATCTTATCTGTAGCTTGTTGTCTCTGTCATATGCAAACACTCATACACAAAGCTCAAGCAATTTCCAAAGCAGTCTTTTGGATCATCCAAACAGGCTTATTTTAAATTTGAATCTTAGTGCCCCGTTACCAATCCCAATGGTATTGGTTGTAACCCATATAAGGCAAGTTCTCTGACAGCAGGAGAGTAATGGACTGTATCCAACATTTCTGTATAAGTAAAAAATAGAATTAGGACCTCAATAAGATAGCTATAAAAGTAGTTACATGCAACTTATAGCCACAATTAGCCCTGCTGAATGCAACATGTAGCTCTTATGGTTTGCTCTTGAATGACTGACAACTATTTAATCAAGTTCCTGTTTTGCTCTCAAATGACTGGCAACTGTTTAATAACGACTGCTGCTACTGTCATATTTATTTTAAGGGCAATTTTTTCACCCAATCGACTTTGATATACTTGAGGTCCACCCTGGATCAGATCCACAAAAACCAGATGCCACCATGATTGTGAAAAATAACCAGTTGACAGTAACCAGGTAAAGAGAGCCTGACATTTTAGCTGAGATTGAAATGCTTGCATAAACTGGATGCTCTAAGCTCACTGCTTTCTGTGTTATATTGTAGGGGATGGCAGAAGGATTACACAGCTGATATCCAGCATGGCACCAATATCCCTTGCTGGTTTATTCACAACAATGGAGATGGTCTTATTGATGGCAATCACACAGACTACATTGTTCCCAGCATATTTTGAAATAAAAAATAAAAAAGAGTGGTGATGATCATGATAAAAACTTTTATGATATGATAACTGCTTGTGATATCATCTGAAGAAATATTTTAACACTGGAGATTTAGTTGTGAATCTAAATTACTGAAACTGATATATTCATAATACAATTTGTATATCTTCTGCTGAGATTTAATTTCAATAAATTGGAAAACTTTTTTATTTGCCCACTTATTTTCTACTCACTCCTGAGTGTCTCAAAGGAAGGTTATATAACTAAACATTAAATATGGATAACATATAAGTTAAAACATAAAAATCTCTCATCTCCAAAATGTCTGAATAAGACTGGGTCTAAATTTTAATTTTGTGTGTGTGTGTGAGAGAGAGAGAGAGCTCCAATAGCAGTTTATTCTAAAGAAAATTCCTCATTACAGGACAGTGGTGGGATTCAAAAATTTTTATTACTGGTTATGTGAGCATGGCTTGGTGGGCATGGCAGGGGAAGGATACTGCAAAATCCATTCTCTCTCCACCCCACTAACCTGTTTTCCAGCTACATTCTCCTGTGCAGGGCAACAAAAGAAGACCCAGCCAATCAGCTTGAACTTGGGAGGCAGAGGGGCCAGTCAGAGGTGGTGTTTGCCAGTTCACCGAACTACTCAAAATTTCCACTACGGATTCTCCAGAACTGGTCAGAACCTGCTGAATACCACCTCTGTTACAGGAACAATATTAGTATGTGGAGATGCTTGAAACTTCAAACTTCTAGTTTCCAGGAAAGGAAAAATATTGGCAACTATCACCAACCCATTGATGACAACTGCACTAAATCCAGCTGCTTTAGATAGATATTAAATGATACGGTGAACAAGATGGAATCTTACCAGAGAAATAATAGCAGAACCACAATTAATTACCATTATGGGAAAAATCTAAGAGGTAAAATTTTTCACTTGTTCAGACTACAGTTTAAGTTGATTTTTTTTAATTTATCCATACCTTGAAGGACTACTATACTTTGTTCTTTATGGATGCAGTTGAGGGGAGAATCCCATGTCTTATTTTAATATTCTTGGCATCTACCCAAAAAGGGTTTTGTTAAATAGCTGTTAGGGAAACTTGGCATCATAGAGAAAATGTGCTGAGATACTCAAAAAGCAGGACAGTATTTGATTTTAAGGCTATGCTGGGGACAGAACAGAAAGGAGGAGATGTCTCTTTTTGCATAAACCTAGTAACCTTGTTCATGGTTGCAGTAGCAAAAACTTTAATAATGTTACCTATAATAGGTATGAATAAGTTTGTTATGGTTATGTGTGATATGCAACTAATTTTTTCTCCGCTCTCAGATATAATAGCTTTATTATGGAGAACGAGGAGGCCATAACCATGAAGAAGAACAGCAACATATGAGAAACTTGCAGGATGGCCAGGAGGGGAGATGAGGAGGCCATTGCAATGTGTGTGTGTTGTATGCTACACACACACACATACACACACACACACATGTATATGTATATATGTGTATGTATATAGTATTGATCTTTCCTTTTCTGCAGGTGGCTATTACTGATTTTATATGTATCGATTTTAATGGACTTGTTTACCATCTGAAATAACTTGTCTCTGGACTTCAGGCTTAATATAGAGCCAAGGGTTTATGTTGGGCTAACAAATGATATTTGGAGGGTGGGGTGGGGAGGGAAGAAGCCAAACAGTACAAATGAATGGACAAGGGGTGCATGTGCACTTACATCACAACACACACACACACGCATATCATGGATATGAAAGACGCAATGCCATTCTCAGGAGGGAGATCATACTTTATTAAAATGATTGTTGGGTTTCAGCTTACAAGAAAAAGACAGAGAAAACAGTAGAAAAGATCATTTACTTTGTATTGTACAGCAAGCAACTTTATGAACAGAGAGCAAACCTGTAACTCACTGCCACTCACATTACATGGTCAGATAATGAAACAATTGCAAGCAAAAAAGCTCGGACAGCACCAAGGTCTCTATTGTTCAACCCTGAGACAGACAGACAGACAGACAAATATTCTCTTGTATTGAAAAACAAAGGTAGTCCATTTCCTCCCTTTACTTTTCTCATAGATCCATTAATCATTTCTGATTATTTGATACCATTGTAATTACCACATAAATTTTCTATTACCATCTCTTATTTAAATTTATAAGACCCTCCCTTTATTATCAAGCTCTTTTCTCTGCTTTGTACTTTGATAATATTTTGATATTTGATAATTTTAGAATGTGTCAGGAAAACGTTTTGAGATCTCTGTGCAGAATATGCTTCTCATACAAATACTGAAAAATAAAACAATGGAATTCACAAATTATATATCCAATTTATTTTACTGAACTATTGCATGAAAAAGAAACAATTATTTAATAGACTATGAGCTCCTTGCAGAGGGAGGGGAATATATTAAATAAATCTGTCAAACTGCTTAGCCATTATTACCAATCACAGCTTTCCGTAGATACAAATAAGATGATCAAAAGTACATCAAGACAACTATATTATTTTCTATGCTCGTTACAAATATCCATGAAAACTAGCAATAGGCTCCCTAGAACACATTAGAAAATGATAAAACGACTAAAATCAATCCATGCTAAAATTCAGTGATATCAGAACTGATTGGCAAAGGGACGTCAGGTACCTGCAGTGCCATAGCAATCTGAACAAGCCACTCCACCACTTGAGACTCAGGAAGAAGTTGTCCTTTCCACTCTTCCAGTTTATGATATGTCCCCTCCTTCACAGAAGCCCATGACAATGTACAGCAAGCCATCATCTCCTTCCCAGGACTCTATATAGGTGATTATGTTTGGATGCTTCAGCTGTGACAATAGCTGGGCTTCCTGCTCTGCTGCTTTTCTCTCATGGCTTGAGGCATGTTTAAGGTTCAGCCTTTTGATAACATGCTGCACAAACAGAAAGAAGGCTTAATTTCTTTTTTACAAAAAGAATATCACTGTAAAAGAAAGAAATCTAAAGATCAGCCACATGGGCCTGTTTTGTACAAACACTATTAAAACTACCACAAGAGTTATTTAAAATAAAAACCCTCCCACCTGCTAAAGTAACGTGAGTGAGAAAGGAGAGAGGGATGCAAGAAGCAAATCAACTTGGACCTTTTAAAAAAGTGATGGCAAGGTAGCCTGACAATAGAAGTGATATTTCAACCTTTGACAGAACTCTAGCTGTAGCATTTTCCACCAACCAACATTTTTCACTTTTCAAGGAAAGCATATAATCCTTTGCAAGAAGAAAATACAACACCCTAAAATAAATATGATTCTAGTACCATAAATACACTTTTAAATCTCCATTTAAGGAAAGGTCTCTGTTAATACTGTAATTTAGCCAAAGGCATTTTTCTCACTAGGAACCAATAAAGATTCCAAGAACTTCTCTAAACTACCAGTCTGATTCTTCAAAAGTGCAAGCTTTGTCCCAAATCCCAGAATGACATGACTGCTGATGTACAGAACCTACATTTAATTCTGACTGCACTTAATTTAATAATTAAAATGACACTTGTTTCAAAATTTCCTGCATTAAATTTGGTATCCTTGCTTTAAAGAGCTACTTTAATATCAGTGTATCAAAACAGACAATCCTCAAATGCAGTTTGAAATATAGCTCAACATTTTTTCCTGATTACCAGATACTTCAGTATACAGTATGTGTTGCCGCTCAAACTTCATGCTGGAAGTGTAAAATGATAAGGGGACACATAATGTGTCTAATAAAGAGTTTAAATAATAAGAATAGAATGAACTGGAAGGGACTTTGGAGGTCTTCTTGTGCAGCCCCCTGCTCAATAGCATAGCATAGCATAGCATAGCATAGCATAGCATAGCATAGCATAGCATAGCATAGCATAGAATAGAATAGAATAGAATAGAATAGAATAGAATAGAATAGAAT